TATATATATCCAACGAGCGCGATGATGGAGTGAGTAATTATAGGAACTGATAGAAGCATGTTGGAGCACGCGACGCGAACAAACCTATAATATTTTTTATAGATGACAAACATTTTTTTAGATAATTCGCTAGTAATTTTGATAAAAATCAAAGATAAAAAAGAAAATGGAAATGATGACTTCAATAAATCATCTGTTTTACTTATCTATTATTTATTGATATAAAATTTATATGAAGAATACTTTACATTCAATAAAAAATGAAATTTTTCTCTTAAGATCATGATAATAAGGATGAAAAAGATCAAAATCGATGATAGCGTTCACTCAATTCATGGCTCACATGCAGAGGATTTACAGATTTTTCTGATTTTCATTGAAAAAATAATAATTCATTATAGCTTTGAATAATTCACTCAGCATATCATTCCTTTTCTACATGATTCTACATCCCAAATACTAAATAAAACACTACATGAGTTAAATTGGCGACCTAATAAATAGTACTTACTATACTGCAGATAAGATATGCGTTTCGCTAATGTTTTTAGAATATAATTATAAATGCACGATATTGTTACGTCGTTAAGAGTTACAAAATATACTATCCTTAACGTATAAAATAATCAAGAAATATAAATATTTATAATATAAAATCATATTATTTATACAAATTCTTATATCATCATGTGTAGAGTAGAGCGAGAGTTGTAATATTTTTTTGTTTAAATTATTATAAATCTTGGACAAATATTATGATAGAATAATAAAATAAAAATAATCTTATAATGGCTCAATAATAATAAACAATAAATAACAAGGGGCTTCAAGCCAGATTTTTATGTATTTCAAATTCTTAGAATATACGTTTCGAACTTATTATTAGGCCATCCTCAGTGTATACATGTAAAGAACACAAATTTAACAAAATTAATAAAACAGTTAGATACCATTTCTACAGATTATAGTTACACAAAGTGTTGATAGTACTCCTTCATATCTATCTTCTGTCGCAATAATGTAATGCTTTTAGTCTTGTAATATTCTCAGTTACATTCTTCCATTATATCGATCGATTATATCGGTAATTCATGTGACTCAATAATTAAATACTTATAAATTCTTAATTCCGTAAATAAGAATAAAAATTTTGTTGATTACAAAGAGGTAATGTGGCTCAAAATAATCCATTAGATTGAGCATCTTCGAAAGATAAGTTAAGATAAGTTAAGATGAAAATAATCACTTAATAAGGTATATATTATTAAAAATATGAAAGAATTTTGTGTATATTAATCAAATTTTTATTTTATAATTTTCGTTTTAAGTATATATAATAATTTATAGATAATACTCTCTTTAAATGTTTTAATTAACAAAATTTAAAAAAACTAAAAACTTCACTCTTTATATAATAACAATAATTAAACATAAAATATATATTTATAATCGTTCGACATTGGGGGGTTTACAGAATAAATAAAGTATAGAAGATTCATAGAATAAAAAGCATTGATAAAGGCAAATTTCATTTAAACAGCTGAGTTTATAGTTGTGGGATATAATTATTTGACTCAACAAACCCCACATCGGTGTTAACTGAAATATAATTTTATTA